TGTGTGTCCTGTATTCCCTGAGGTGGGGGCAACCCACCTGCCAGCCTGCCTGTGTGTGTGAAAGGGTCAGTTAAACATACATCGACTCGACGGCACATAACAACAACACACAAGTTGGAAACAAAGAAAGCCACAAAAAAGAGAGAAAAAGACACTTGAGAGAGAGAGAACACAGAAAGAGACAGATAACAGATACCCTCAAAAGACACTCCATGTTCCCGCCCCCGACCCGCTTCCCAAACCTTGTTATGGGGTCTCTCCCTCCCTCTTACGCTAGAAAGGGAGAGAGAGCGCAAGGCAGCGCCAGTGGCACAGAGGAGAAAAGCTACCTCAGCCCCACTGTATGGACAGTCTCCCTTCCGTTCGAACCCTTTTTACCGCTCGCTCAAGGTCCCTGGCACCACCCTGCCCTGCGTGCACTTCAGACCCCGCGCGCCCCCGCGCGCTTGGACGCATGCACGCACCTGGGGTCCTGCTGCCCGCAGCGGCGCAGAGCGCGCAGTGCAGAGGAAGCAGGCAGCACAGCAGCGCTCGCAGCGGAGCCATGTGGCCGAGCGGAGACGCGGGCTGGGCGGGCGCCTGAGCCCGGAGCCCACCGCTGCAGGCGAGGCTGGGGCGCGCCGAGAGCTGTCTGAGAGCTGGGCCGCCGGCCTCCACCGCTGCCGCCTCCTGTGATCCTCACCGCCTCCCGCCTGCCTGCTCCGGCCCCCCGCGCGGCGCCGCCGCCAGGACCGCTGGCTCTGAGCGTCCGAAGCTGCCGGCAGGAGAGCAGCACCGCTGCAGCGCCAGCGCCTCCCGTGCCAACTGCCTGCCGACGTTCTGGGACGCGGCGGGATTCAGGCGAAGGGGCGGCAGGGCGGGCCGTGGGTGGGCACACTGAGCTAGGCGGGGCCGGGAGCTGGTCGGAATGGGGGGCGCTGCGATCTGGGGGGCGGGGCTGGGGCACGGAGCGGCGTGTGATCAGGCCCGCGATCGGAAGTGCCACGCGGAGCCGGGACAAGGGCTCCGTGCGTATGAGACTAGTGTCCTCTGAGAGGCCTCTGTCGGAGTGCCTAATCCTTTCTCCTTGGCCCCTGCATCTCTCCCCATCCCCGCTTCCTCGGCCCCAGGGCCGGCTCTCAGTCCCGCGTTGGACTCCTTTCGCGGCCACTGGCAGAAGGTATGGCCAACTTCATTTGGGAGGGAAATGGTGAGTCTCAGGAAGAGAGGTCGCCTGCCTCTGTCTCTCGTGGTGTGTCCATGCCCCACCCCTGACCATTGACCCCTGGGTTCTATCCTTTTTGCAGACTACAGCTCGCCCAGGCCTCAGGGTGCAATGAATAGCCGGCATCTAGTCAAGAGCATGAGGAGTTGAGAGCCCTTGCTTTCTGGTCAGACAGCTCTGATTGAACCCCAAGGTCAGAGCTATTTTCTTACCTGTAAAATTGGGGTTAACTGTAAAGTATAAACCAAACACCAAACCCAATTCTGACTTACAGCGCATAATAAACCAAACCAAAAAAAAAAAAAAATCAAACTTGTTGTCATGGAGTCGATTCCTACTCGTGGTGACCTCGTGTGTTACAGAGTAGAACTGTTCCATAAGATTTTCTTGGCTGTAATCTTTAAAAGCAGATAGAACTCCAGGCTTTTCTTCCGTGGTGCTGCTGGGTGGCTTCAAACTGCCAACCTTTGGATTAGAGTCCAGTGCAAACTGTTTGTGCCACCCAGGGACCTATAGCACATACTCCAAAAACCAAACTCACTGCCATCAAGTCGATTCTGACTCATAGTGACCCCCACTGGGTTCCTGAGGTTGTAAATCTTTAAGGAAGTAGATCTCCCCATCTTCTTTCTGTGGAGCAGCTGATGGGTTTGAACTGCTGCTGACCTTTTGGTTAACAGCCAAATGCCCTATCCACTACGCCACCAGAGCTAGCCATACAGCACATAGGAGGTGCCCAATAAGTAACAACTATCCACGTCCCTTCCTGGCATCAGAAGCACTTGCCACAGCCCAAGTTGGGAAGAACCAAGAGGCAGGAAGAGGAGATTGGATACTGAGAAGGTGTGATGCCTCATCAAAATAGTACTGAGACCAGCTCAGTAGTCACCCACAGAAAGTCGGTGTGCCTTGCTTTACTCTGTAAGTGTGTCTCCTATAGTCTGCAAGCAAATGCTATTTCAAGCAATCCAGAAGTGGGGAGTGGAGAAAGGAGGGTTTTTTTGTTTGTTTGGTTGGTTGGTTTTGTTTTAACTGTGGAATAAAGAATCTTTGTATGTACATGAAGCCCCCTAATCTTTCTGGTTTTAGTTCAGACATTTTGTCATGGGGTTTTCTCAAAGGGAAGTTGACTTGTGGGTTGAAATTATCTTACCAGACTTACCTTAGCAATTCCTGAGCCCCTGAAAGAAGACACGGGTCCCTGCATGCTTCTTCCATGTGAGCTTTTCCAGTCTTACACCCTTGCTGGGCTCCAAATGGCTCCACTTCTCTACCTTCTTTGTGGGCAGAGAAGTGGGTTCTTCATCTCTGTGGTCCCAGCACCTGGCTCAGGGCCACCTGAGGGGCAGTGTTTGAGGGATGTGAAATGATGCCAAGGTTCTGGAGGGCCAGCGCCTCTAAGAAACAGGTTCAGAGAGCTGAAGTGATGTGTTCAACGCCACATAGCTGTTAGCAGCAGAGCTAGAAGAGCCCAGGGTGAAGTGCTGAGAAGCAGAGAAATAGAACACTGAGAATCCAGAGACTCTTCTAGACTGAACTTTGCCAAGTACAGGCCATGTGACCAAGGGCAAGTCATTTATCTGTGTGGGTTTCAGTTCTCTGTCAAAGGGGAATCGTCAAGATTCACAGATGTAAACGCAAAAGCCCTGTGGAAATGCAAAGTTTATTACACCCAGACAACATCTCCCGGCTATTTGGAAATTTCTTTTCTCTCAACCAACTTCTAGCTATCTCATCTTCTTCATCTTGGGGGTCGGACCAAGAGAGGAAGTGAGCTGGTGCACGGCAGAGGTTGTGTTTCTGAAAGTAAGAGAGCAAGTACCTTGGATGTGAAGCCAGCTTTGCGACCAGAGGCAGCCCCTTTCCCTCTCCAGGCCTCAGTTTACCCAACTGTAAAGTGGGAGTGGGGTACTGGATTAGAGATAGACTCAGAGCCCCTCTAGCACTAACCTTCTAAGTTTTTGTTTATACTCAAAGAAATGTGGCTCAAAGGCTGGCAGGCTGCCATTCTCCTTAAGGTGAAATCCTAAGGTTTTGCCTGAGCCCCAACACACTGAGTCGATCTTCCTTGAACTGCTACCACAGCAGTCCTTTAGTGATAGACACCTCTAGCTCTGTCTGTCTGGCTTCCCTGTACCAGGGGATCTTCCTGAGTTATAGGTTCTAACAGTTAGCCTTCCCTCTCCTGCCTCGGGGCTCACTCAAAGCCAGCCAGACCCACCTCCATGTTTTTGCTCCTGTCTCCCTCTCCCACCAGGAATGCTTCCTCCTCTCAGCCTTCCTCTGTGCCCTCTTCTTCCCTGGAACCCCATGTCCCCACTGGTGCTACTGCTCCTTCACCTAATGCACATAATTTTTTTCTCTTTCCAGTCTTACCTGGCTTTTAGGCTTTGTCCTGCAGGAGTCTTGGCTTCCCATTGGCTATTGGCTCCATACCCTGCAAACTTCTTACATTCTCCCCCCATCCCCTCCCAGGGCCTTGGACTAAAAGAATGTTAGAGAAGTGTTGGGGGAACACCTAACCATTCTCCCCTGTGAAAACTCCCAAGACGAGAAACTGGGAAGTCCAGAACTTGCCTTCCTAGCAGTCTCCCAAGCTGACGCCTATGGGTTTCTTTTCTTTGGCCCTGTTCATTTCCAGAAACAGGGCCACCCAGCCATTTTCCTTCTGGACCAGACTCTGACCTGTGCTCCCATTCCCCTCTTCCTAACAAAGCCTTCCTCACTGGAAAAAGGCTTGGACACACAATACTTGCCAACAAAAGCAAGCATTGTAGCCCCAGGGAAAGGGGTGGGAGTAGAGAACCAGGGTGAAGTTTTGCTCTCTGCTCACCAATGACTGGCTCCACAGAAGGCCCCAACCTACAGCTGAGTCAGGCCCCTGGGGTCCCAGCTGCAATGGATACCTCTCGACTTGCCCTGTCTGAGGCAGGAAGGAGGGGATGGGAGAGAGGAGGGGGGCTTGAGCCCCTGAGTTTTCCAGGTAAGCTTTCCTAGGATGGTTCCATAACCCACTGTCATCAAGTTGATTCTGACTCATAGCAACCCTGTAAGTCAAAGTAGAACTGCCCCATAGGGTTTCCACCAAGGAGCTCTTGTGGTGTAATGGTTAAGGCATTTGGCTACTAACCAAAAAAAAAAAAAGGTCAGTGGTTCGAACCCACCAGCCACTCCCCAGAAGAAAGATGAGATGATCTACTTCCATAAAGATTTACAGCCTTGCAAACCCAACGGGGGTCACTATGAGTCAGAATACATTTGATGGTAATGAGTTTGGTTTGTTTTACAGTTTCCAAAGTTATAAATCTTTATGGAAGCAGACTACCTCATGTTTCTCCCACAGAAAGGTTGGTAGGTTCAAACCACCAACTTTCTGATTAGCAGCTGAATGCTTTAGTTACTGCCTCACCAGAACTCCTTGAATGATTCTATGTTGTTGTTGTTGTTGTTGTGTGCCGTCGAGTCAGACCCGACTCATAGCGACCCCTCCTTGGGTTTCCGAGGCAGTATCGCTACGGAAGTAGATTGCCCCATCTTCCTTCCGAGGAGTGGCTGGTGGGTTTGAACCGCCAGCCTTCTGGTTAGCAGCCAAGTGCCTTAGCCACTATGCTACCAGAGCTCCCTCAATGATTCTATAGCAGGCAGAAAATGAGCAATCTTCCTGCTATGACTTTTCCCTTCTTTCCCCACAGGGTCCCTACTCAGGAAAACAGATTTTATCTAAGATCATTTAGCAGATTTGAGGAGGGAACTAGGGCTTTGAATCTGGTTCATTCCGGTTTGACCTCCTGCTGAGAATTTGCATTTTTGCCCCAGATACACTGAATTTGAATCTTCCTTTAACAAGATCCCTAGATGATTCCTACAGATTCCCTAGTCATTGTTATGTAAATTTAAAATCTCATTGAAAGGTAGATTTTGATTCAGTGTATCTGGAGCACCAGTGGCCTAGTGCCTAAGGCATTTGACTGCTAACCAGAAGGCTAGCGGTTCAAACTCACAGCCACTCCTCAGAAGGAAAACTGCATGATCTAGTTCCATAAAGATTTACTGCCTCGGAAACCAAAGGGGGTCGCTGTGAGTCGGAATTGACTCAATGGCAGTGAGTTTGTCTGGTTTTTTTTCCGTATATATTTGTGAGCTCCAGTGAAGCTGTGGTTAAGGCATTTGGCGGCCAATCAAAAGGTCTATACTTGGAACCCATCACCCACTCTATGGGAGAATGATGAGGCAGTCTGCTTGTGAAATATTTAAAACTTTGGAAACCCTCTGGGGCAGTTCTATTCTGTCCCACAGGGTCATTATGAGAATCGATTCAATGACAGTGGATTTGATTTTTTTG